TGGTAACTCTACCATCTTAGGCATTGGAAGGAGCTTGGGAAGACCCTGACTATGATGTTTTTTGTAGCTTGAAGAGCAGTAGTGAGCTAGGTCTCTGCTCTCTTTCCTCAGAGTAGCAGATCTGGAATGTCCAAAGTTTCTTAATTTCTGTAATGCAGGGCCTCATAGCCACAATGACTCAACTTAAACTTGGGCTTTTTTGTATTTATAGTGATCTCCTCAATTTATAGTATGTTCTCATATTTCCATCCTCATGACAGGTAGTGGCAAAGGTCCTGAGAATTCAGAGTTGTGTAGTAGTGTGCCTCAGTGGAAAAAGGCTTCCCAAACAACTCGTGAACTCCTGTGTATTATACAGATCAGTGCAAAATAATTTCTAAACATTTTTAATTATTTAGGTGGCACCCTTGCTCACAGACTAGGTTTGTGAGAACAGCCATAGTTTTAAAGTCTGAGAAAAATAAAGCAAATATGAAAGTGTTATCAAGGACAGGGTAAAATTTTGTGAAGGACAAATTCCAGAAAGGGCTATCTGTTAAATTGTCATCGAAAAATGCTGAAATTTAGGCATTTGCAAGGACATATACACGTGATATCCTTCCGAATGGAAAGGAATAGGTGCGTCATCTGTAAATTAAGAGCTGATTTAGTGGCTTGGTTGTTCATGGACAGTTTAAATATGGAAATGCTCTGCAATGGACTTTATTAAGTGGTGTAAAGGAGAAGCTCTAAACAGAAATTTTGCAGTGATATCAATAGTTAGGCATGAAGGGTTTCCTGCTGAGGATGGAACAGAGGAGTGTGGAAAGGATGTGCAAGTGCCTCACAGGATTCAGGAAGCCTATAGCAGGACATACAACAGAGAGGGTCTTCACTGAAATTCAGGTAGTTCTTAGGGTAAGCGTGAAGTTAAAGTTGGGTTCTGATTGTTTCATTGAGGTGATCAACACCAGCTCTGGCAACAATCAGTATTTCACATCCCTGTCAACCCATGAATTTTGTGTTCCATACTTAAGATCTAATTTGGATTATCTCTAATTATGCCCCAGTGTCATGCAGGTAAAATTTGGATTCTTTTTGTACCAAGGATCAAACTCATGACCTATGCTTTCCAGACAGGCATTCATGCCACTGAGTTAAATACCCAACTATGAAAGTGTTTTCTTTGTTGGATGGAAGAGATCCACATTGTTTCTCAGAATGTGTTGAATATTGTTGGAATTTTTCCATATTGTATGGCTATAATTTTTAAAAACAAACCAAAGGTGTCTTATGCATTCTCTCTTCAAGTTTCACTTTGTCTGTGGGGTGTCTCAGTCAGGGTTTCTCTATTTTAGACAGCTCTGTAACTTAGGATAACCCCAAATTCAAGGAAGAACTTCTTCACCAGCCTCCCAAGATATATTCCTTATATCTGAATTGAAAGTGATCGCTTGGTGACATTGAGCTATAAATTAGAGCTTGGGCCTGGTTCCATTTTATATATTTATTTTTTAAAAACAGCATTTTCCACTAACATTTGAGGTATTATTTGTGTACCATATTGAATGTTATTTATGTTTTGTTCTATGAAACGAAATTCATGTTTCAAAATGCTGCGAAGTATATTAAGAACAAAGTACTCACTGGCCTAAATGAGATTTGAAGAGACATTATCTGTAGCCTATCAAAGTGATTGATGAGATTTTTCTTTTCTTTTTTTAAATTTTGAAAGTGATAAAATACAACAGAACAAGGCAGAATAAGGCCAACTAAGATCATATAGTGAAATTGGTACACAACTTCACAACAGGTTACTGGGATAATAGTAATAGGTCTCACAGTATATTTTATTATCTTTATAATAGTTGTTCTTTCAAACATGTATATCAAAATGAGATGAAATACAGAACATTATAGTACTTATCAAAACAGAATATTGAATAGAGCAATACAATTAATCAGAATAGAGCAAAACAGTAATAAAAATATTTGCCTTCGAAGAGATAGTAGAAGGAAGTCCCCTGTATTTGTTATGGTCTGCTTCCCAGGAGACACTCAGATTTCTGGTTCCCATTTGCTAAAGTCGGGGTGACAGGAGAAGAGGGGAAGGGAAGTAGAATGTTTGATTCTAGGCCATGCATCAGTAGGTTCACTATTGCTTAGTAGGGAGACAGGCTGGTTGTTTGGTTTCACAGCGTCCTAAGTTCCCACATGGCGTGGATCTCAGGAGCAGCTGCTGGTTCTCCCCCTGGAAGGGCCACATTCTGCCAGACAATCACCGCTTATCATGGAGAAGTGGTGCTGGCTTGCCTTCCAAGTGTCCTAAATTCCAGCATGGCATGGATCTCAGGAGCTGCTGCTGGTTTGCCCCCTGGATAGGCCACAGTCTGCCACATCATCACCACTTACCAGGGAAGGGAGGTTCTTGTTTGGCTTCCCATTAGATTGATGGGATATTTATCTGCTTCTGTGCTTTGTGGATGCTGGTCCAACAGGCTTCTCACTGTGAGCTCTGCTTTAGAGACAGTACACAGGGAATATTGCAGTGACTCAGCACAAGCAGATGACATGATACTCTACATAGAAGACCCTCTAAACTCAATTGAAAGCCTCTTAGATACAATAAATGAATTCAGTAACATGGCTGGATACAAAATCAATACTCAGAAATCAGTAGCATTCCTATACACGAACAACAAAATCACAGAGAGGGAAATAAGAGAAACTACACTCTTCACATTAGGAATCAAAAAAATGAAATATTTAGGAATTACTCTTACAAAAGAAGTGAAAGATTTATACAGTGAAAATTATAATACACTGAAAAAAAAATGGAGGATGATCTCAGAAAATGGAAAGACATCCCTTGCTCATGGATAGGAAGAACAAACATTGTGAAAATGGCCATTCTCCCAAAACGGTTATACAGATTCAATGCAATCCCAATAAAAATACCATCAACATACCTTGAAGATCTAGAGAAATCACTCCTAAATTTCATCTGGAATCCAAAGAGACCTAGAATAGCAAAGGCAATTCTAAGCAGCAAAGAGCAGGAAGCATCACAATCCCTGACTTGAAGTTATACTACAAAGGAACAGTAGTATAATCAACATGGTATTGGAATCAAAACAGAGCCGAAGATCAATGGAATAGATTAGAAGATACAACCACAACTACAAACACACTCAACCACCTTATTTTTGATAAAGGAGCCAAGCAGGTTCACTGGAAGAATGACAGTCTCTTTAATAAGTGGTGCTGGAAAAACTGGCTCTCCATTTGCCAAAAACTAAAGCTAGACCCATGTCTATTACCATGTACTAAATTAAAATCTAAATGGGTCAAAGATCTGAATATTAAAACAGAAACACTAAATCTATTGGAAGACAAATTGGATTAAAACCTTGAAGACATAGAAGTAGGTAGAGAATTCATGAACAGATCTCAAACCACACGGGAAATACTTCCCAGAATCAATAGCTGGGACCACTTCTTATTAAAAAGTTTCTGCATGTCAAAAGAAATCTCCAGCATGGTAAAAAGAAAACCCACAAACTGGGAAAAGATTTTAGTGAACTCTCTCTCAGACAAGGGACTCTTGTCTAAAACATATAAAGAATTTAAAAAACTCAGACCCCAAAAATTCAAAGATCCAATCCAAAAATGGGCATCTGAGATGAATACGCACTTCTCAGGTGAAGAAATGCAAATGGAAAGTAAATACATGAAAAAATGTTCATCATCATTGGTCATTAGAGAAATGCAAATTAAAACCACACTGAGATACCATCTCACTCCTGAAAGAATGGCCAGGATCAAGAAAACCAACAACAACAAATGCTGGAGAGGATGTGGGGAAAAAGGAACTATCCTACACTGTTGGTGGGAGTGTATACTGGTGCAGCCTTTGTGGATGTCAATCTGGAGATTTCTCAAAAAGCTGGGATTGGAAGTCCCAGTTATTCCAGCTATTCCACTTCTAGGCATATTTCCAGAAGAAGTGAAAGCATCATACTACAGTGATATATGTGCACCTATGTTTATGGCAGCACAATTTATAATCACCAGATCTTGGAAACAACCCAACTGCCCATCAACTGAGGAATGGATAAAAAAGTGGTGGTATTTCTATGCAATGGAGTATTATTCAGCTATAAAGAAGGATCACATTTAGATATTTATCCATAAATGGGCGCAGCTTGAGACCATACTCATAAGTGAAATAAATCAATCTCGCATATGTGAATACCGAATAGTTTCCCTAATGTAAATAATGATTCAAATATATAAAAATATATGGTAATCATGATTCCCCATTATGTGGCCTTGAAGCCTTATAAAGTTTTCACTTAGTAATTGGAAAGGCTTTATTCTGGGCTTCTTGATATGGAAATACTTGAAGCTATTGTATATGAAGTTTTATTCAAATATTTCAAGGAAAAAGACAGACACTATGGTAACTACTATTAAGTCGGGTTATTTGGTGGTGAAGCACTAGGTTGCTGAAACAGTCATGCTTTGACCTGTATTGTTATATTGTTATGTCCTGTTTTATCTCAATCTCTGCCTTATTCATTAAAGAATTATTTAGTTAAAAAAAAGAATCAGTGCTCCTATTTCACCGTTACATTAGCAGTGAGTTGCAATCTATCATCAAATTTGCTGTCTTCAAAAATGTGTATATTCACAAAATTAATGACTAAGACCTGGATTTAAGTTTGATGAAATCAGTCTTCATTCAGCTGTTTTGTTTGGTTTTACTGTTTAGTTTTGTTTTGTTTTATTGAGACAAGCTTTCTGTATGTATATCAGCTGGATTTGAACACCCTATGAAGCCTAGAATTGTCCTGACCTCACTGAAACCATCCTGCCTCAGCCTTTTGAGTGCTGGCATTATAGATATATACCACCACACTTTGCTTTTGATTCAGATTTGTAGGAGAGAATTTAAGATATCCCAAACCTGGTGTCTCAACCTTCATGTGAGAAATATATGTATGATCCTTTAGGAGGTGGTGACCTTTGAGGATGTGGTCGTGAACTTCAGCAATGAGGAATGGACTTTGCTGAGTCCATCCCAAAAGAACCTCTACAGAGATGTGATGGGTGAAACGTTTAGGAACATGACTGCAATAGGTAAGGACAAAATACTTTTGTCACTCATGCTGTCAGAATGTTGTTTGTTGCTCATCAGTGCTGTTTCATTAAAAACAATGTGAAAATATTTTTAAAAATCAGTCAGACCTCGACACATTATATCATAGCTCTAAACAAAATCTATTAATTTGTATGTATTATTCTAATGAGCACTGGTATTTCTATGTCTACAATTCAGGAGGACTTGGGGATATCCAGGAAGCTGAAAAAGAATGCAAAATTTACTGGAAATACTTAAGGTAATTCGCACTCATAAGGAGAAGTAATGTTCCTGAGTAATTAGTGAGTCAGCAGAAAAATGACCACCAAACAAATGAGGCACCATTCAATTTATTGTCAGTAATATTCTCCGAAGATGTATAAGCTAGGGTATGTATAATGAGTGAATTAAATCATGAAAATTTATATCATTGCATATAGATGTGTACGAAAGGCATACACTTTGAGTTATGACATTCTCCCTTCAGTTTTTCTACCGATATATACATGTGAATACAACACATTCATTATCTAAAAATTGCTAAGATTGCAATAGAATTTGAAATAAAATGGAGTGCTTGTGTTTCCAAGCCATGCTCTAAAGAATCAACAATTCTGACTAAAATTCTTAGAAGGCTGGTGGAATGTTAAGGGCACTCATTCTAAATATCAGTGTGCAGTTGTCTCTAGAAATTGATCCCCTCACACTTATCCTGGATATATTTTTAAAAATTCAAAATCCGCATAAAATACTGATACATGCTTGCTCATATACAAAGCAGATCAAATTATAATAGATCAAGCCTTGAAGAAGCTTAGCTATTTATGACTGGATTTGTGGAGAAGGAAAAATAATAGACACTCTGTGATTGTGCATTCTTGTAAATCCAGCACACTAGGAATCAGATTTTACAGAATGGCAAATATAAGTTCAAACTTCACAACTTAATGATCAGTGAAAATGTCTTAAAACAGATTTAAAAAGGTATAGATTTTATGCTAATACCTGTTGTTCATTCCCAGCATGGAAAAGAAAAAAAAATGAGTTATATATTTCAAAAATAAATAATATAATGTCATTTGCCATAAGAAATAGGTGGGTCTTTCTCCCGTCAATTTGGTGAAATAGCTCAGCTATAAAACCTAAAAGGTCACAGGGTTTCTTTTAGATGAGAAACCAAAATATAAATTGTGGAATAAAATGAAAGAGAGTTAATAGAGAAAAGTAAGACTGACCATATGGAAAAGGGAACTACAGGTTAAGGACAGAAGGGAGATTGTGATGGGGAAACATATCAGAATGATCTGTATGTGATACACATATGTACCCATGCCCAAAGTGAAGCTAAAGATTCTGCATTTCAAAAGGTACCAAATTTTAAGATTTCCAAATGTGTACCATTCCTTTGGGAATGGTTGTTTTCAACATGTCTTACAAGGGCATTCTGTTACTTCATGTTCAGAATTTCTTAGCAGGCATTAAAAACAGAACTTTACATTAATGCAGTCATTAAACTGAGACCCATTTCACTGTGAATTTTTCTTTTTTTATTTAATGTAAGGAAAGACTAAAAAAACAAAATAAGTAGAAATAATATCACTTTCAAAGTGAAAATAAACAGTAAGAAATCTAAAGACAGTGATTACATATGCTGCTCATAGAAATAGTTAATGAAATACAAAAGTGAAACTTATGAAGTGGGGATTCAAACAGCGAGACTGCAAACAGTTTTGTTCAACTTAGTAATATGGTTATCAATCCTATATGTGATTTTTTTTTTTTTTACAGAAATGACAAGCTAGGGAAATCCTATGGACATACATCTTGGAATCAGTGTAAAGAAGTATTCCTTTGTACTGCTGAAGGTAATTTGAATGTGAAAGAAACAGAAACACACCACAATGTTCAGATCCATGAAAAGTATTGCAATGGAGAGAAACCCTATGTATGTCAGCAATGTGGAAAAGGGTTCACCAAATCTGGACTTTATAAGCAACATGAAAGAATTCACACTGGAGAGAAACCATATGTATGTAAGCAATGTGGGAAAGCTTTTAACACATGGGGAGATTTTAAGAAACATGAAAGAATTCACACTGGAGAGAAACCCTATGTATGTAAGGAATGTGGGAAAGGTTTTACACGACATCAAAATTGTAAGCAACATGAAAGAATTCACACTGGGGAGAAACCATATATATGTAAGCAATGTGGGAAAGATTTACCCAACAAGAACATTGTAAGCAACATGAAAGTTCACACTCAAGATAGAACCAGTGTATATAAGCATCATGAGAATTTTTTGAGCACAAGTCCATATTGCATAATGCATGAAAAACTTCACACTGGGCAGAAAACTTATATATGTGAGGAATGTGGGAAAGGTTTCAGCAGAAATGCTCATTGTCCAATACATTATAAAATTTACACTGTTGAGAAGCCTGTGTATGTGAAGAATGTGGGAAAGCTTTCACCACACATGGATTTTGTAAAATACATCAATGACTCCACTCTGGTGAGAAACCCTATGTATATAACAATGTGGCAAAGCTTTTATCACATACAGTCATTGCAAAACATGTGAAAGAATTCACACTGGGAAGAACCACTGGCTATGTAAGCAAGTGGAGACACTTTCAGCAGCCAGATTGTAAGTGAAATATGTGAAGAAGCTCACACAAGAGATAAATCCTATGTGTTATGGGAATACTCTCAGCACACATGATCATTGTTACATATCTGAAAGAGCTCACTGGATCCTATGTGTATTACCAGTGTGAGAAATATGGCAATCCATGTTTGTTGTTAAATACATAGAAAAAGCAGCACTCTTCAGACAGTTTAGATCTAAGTTTACTTTAAAAATTCCAAGTAGACCTGAAGAAATAATCAATACAGAAGTTTGATGTCAATATTTCTTCACAAATTTCCCAAAATGAGAAATCTGAAGTGGAGCTCTACTCAAGTACATATTTTGTACGGTTTTCAGTTAATCACTTATACCTCTTTAGATTTTTTAATGTGTCTTTGTGCTTCAACATGGCATCTTGTAATTAAACATGGTAAACTGAAATGGGCTTTTCACTTCCAAGTATGGATAGTGTCTATGTACTTAATATTTTGTCTTTAAACCTTAATTTTTATATTTTTGGTGAATTATTTTTATTTAAAGAAAAAAACCAAAAAGTGTAGAAATAATACAGAAGGTCTGAAAAATAAACAGTAAGAAATCACTAGTTGATTAGTTACATATTGTCATCTTAGAAGTAATTGTTCAAGTTACAAAATTAAAGCATACAAAGTGATATTCAAATAATTACACTGCAAACAGTTCACCTCAGTGATCCAAAAAAAACTTATTAATATGCTTATCTGTTCTACAAACTTGTTTTTTATCTTAAAGATGGTAAGATTAACATGACAAAACAGAACAGTTCATAAGGAAACAAGTTAAGGAAACACAGGTTTCACATCAAGTCCACTGAGATGTTCATTTTCTATCTTACTGTCTCTAGTTTTCTTCAGAATAATTGTTCTCATCTTCACATGCATTGAATATATACTGAACATTATAGAACTAATCAAATAATTACAGGATGATGCAGGCATTTTTGATCTTCAAGACTGATTTTGGGGAAGTTGATAATGATTACCGTAATGTGTCTCATTCTCTTCGTAGTAGACGTCTTTATTTTTATGTATGCTGAAATTGAACATACTAGACTAAACTAATATCACTCAGAACAGTGAATAATAGTATCCTGAGAAGGAGAAAGGTGAGGAATTGCCTAAAAAAAGAAGGCAGAGGACATTGTTAAAAGTGTATCAGGATTTAAAAGCTACAGTAGTTCTGTTGCTCTGGTTAGTTTGATTATATTTTGTTCTGGTCTGTCTACTCATATTAGATTTGAGGGCACAGAGGGCACAGAGAGATAACATCATGCCAGGTTATACCATGATGGTAACTGTCCTTAATTTCCTATTAACTAAAACTGAAACCCTGTATTACTTACATTGTCTTACTATGACTGATCTTATTTGAAGCTGGTTTGTTTGAATGTTATTTAGCCTTGACTTATTTTATTCACATTTGGTATGCTTTCTGGTATCAAGTCCAATAGTAGAGGCAACTACTCTGAAGATGATAAGATGTGAAAGATATATATTGGAGGGCTGGGGAGTTAGCTCCGTGGCTTAAGCCCCTGCCTGGCAAGTGTGAGGTCATCAGTTTGATCCCCAGTTAAATTCCAGGTTTAATTTTTTTTATTTAAGGAGAAAAAAAAGAACATAAAAAAACAAAGCAGTAAAAGGGTACAAATAATACAGAATGTAAAGAAAAAAATACAGTAAGAAATCACTACTTAATAGGTTACATATTGTCTTCTTAGAAACAGTTGTCCAAATTATAAAATTAAAGCATATAAAGTGAACATTCCTACAGCGATTTTGCAGACAGTTCTGTTCAATGATCCAACAAAAGCTCAGTAATATGGTTTTCCTTCCTACACACTCAAACAGGCACTTATATCCCTTAGACCACCTTCCTTTCATCTCTTCTTCACAATAACAATTACACTTTTTGTTTTTTTTTTTTACTCCCATAGTTCTTATTACTTTTTTTGAGGAGAATAAAACCTCAAGTGAGTTTACAAAACAGAGTTGGTTAGAACATAAGGATGGGCCTAGTACTTGATGCAAAAATAGAATACCAGGTGATCAAAAATGGTTACCATTGTGCCTCTTGCCATTTTTAAAAAGAGTTTCTATATCATCAGGTATAATAGAATTGATCAAAACAGTACAGAACAAGACCAATAAAATCTACACTGCAGACCTTACAGGATTTCAAAAGAAGACAATAGTCAAACCATAATGGGCATCATAGTAAATCTTATTGCCTAAAAAGTGGTTGCCTATACCCTCAAACTTGATACTATCAAACAAAAGAGAATATAGTAAAATCAGGCAGAACAAGATGGGGAGAGCAATACTGGGGTTAAAATCAGGTTAACAGGAAAACAAAAAAGTTACTATAATATATCCCGCTATTTTTTAATAGGTTACATATTGCCTTCTTAGAAACAGTTGTCCAAATTATAAAATTAAAGCATATAAAGTGAACATTCCTACAGCGATTTTGCAGACAGTTCTGTTCAATGATCCAACAAAGCTCAGTAATATGGTTTTCCTCCCTACACACTCAAACAGGCAATTATATCTCTTAGGCCACCTTTGTTTCCTCTCTTCTTCACAATAACAATTACACTTTTGGGTTTTTTTACTCCCATAGTTCTTATTACTTTTTTTGAAGAGAATAAAACCTCAAGTGAGTTAAAAAAAAAACATAGTTAGTTAGAACATAAGGATGGGCATAGTACTTGATGCAAAAATAGAATATCAGGTGATCAAAAATGGTTACCATTGTGCCTCTTGCTATTTTTAAAAAGAGTTGCTATATCATCAGTTATAATAGAATTGATCAAAACAGTACAGAACAAGACCAATAAAATCTACACTGGAGACCTTACAGAATTTCAAAAGAAGATAACAGTCAAACCATAATGGGCAACATAGTAAATCTTATTGCCTACAAAGTGGTTGCCTATACCCTCAAACTTGATACTATTAAAACAAAATAGAATATAGTAAAATCAGGCAGAACAAGATGGGGAGAGCAATACTGGGGTTAAAATCAGGTTAATAGGAAAACAAAAAAGTTACTATAATATATCCTGCTATTTTTTAATTTAGTTTTATTTTAATTGAAAAAAATAGAATAATTTTTTTTAAAAAGTGTGGAGATCGAGCTAAAAGAGACATTGTAATAGAACAACACAGGTCAGAACTGAACAATTAAAGCATCATTTTGTTCCACCACCAGGTAATCTAACATAATAGTAGTCACCATAGTGCCTCTTTCCTTGAATTATTTGAGTATAACTTCATATACTATAGAATCAATCATATCAAGACAGTGTGAAGCCATTCAAGAGAATGAAAAAATTACAGGGTATTTAGAATCAGTTAACAGAAAATGAACAACAATTTCTATATTATCTCTTTGCCTGTAAAAATTTTTATTTATACTATCACAGTAAAATTGGAATGAGTGAACCATTTTTTCAGCCATTCCCACATGGTCTACCTATGCGGGATCCTGAGGCTGGGGTCCCGTGTCCTGGGAAAGCAGCATAACCTGCTCCCTCTTCACTGTCTTGAGCCAACTGTCTGTAAAGACCAACTGTCACCAGACCAAGGTGCCTGGTGACCTGAGCCTTCAGAGTTCTGTTTGAACCTAGGAAGTGAGGTCATGCACTGGGGTCCACAGTTTGGCCTTCTTCTGTGATATCACCTTTCTTTTTGTTGTGGAACAAATCTATGCCCTCCTTAGAAACAACAAGTTAGAATGCTAGAAAACTGAGTATACTTTTAGACTTTGTTGCACTTTGAAGATTTTAATGCAGCAAACATGTAGATGCTTCAGATGTGTCAGGCTGGGTGCCAAACACAAATGTCTATCCAAAGGGTCCATTGTCTCAGAGGATGAAAGACTCATTGTCTTCTGTTAAAGATTTGTCAAATGTTAGGATGACTTCCTTTCCTGGGCTTATGTTAGCTTTATTTCAGTTTCATTAGGAAGCCAAATACCCATAATAATTTTACCAAACAATGTGAAAGTCTCGTGTTATAAACCCCATATATCCACAGGAGGAGGATTCATAGCCAGCTTTAATCTCACGTGCTTAGGAATGATTATTTATTCATCCTTAGATGTTCAACTCAGCCATACACTGTAGTTCTCCAAACTCTGACCTCCTGAGAGCGGGGACAGCAGGTGGTGAGTACAAGGGGAGGTGACATTATCACCCCATACTGATGAAGGACACATGTGCATCACTCCTGGGGAACTTGTCTCCTAGCTGCTGCTGTCACTTCCTTTCCTCCCATGCCAATCAGACCATGTGCTTTGTGTCCCTGATGGGTAGTTTCCCTTTCCTAGTGGTGATGGTGCTGAGCCTTTTCAGTTGTAATACTCTTTGGTTGGTCTCCTTGAAGCAGTGTTTCCATGCTGGGCTCTATTTGTGCTGCCACCACCCACTATTATGTGGCTGAACCAAGCACATGCACCTGTCACCCATCTTGTGATTGCCATTGTTTATGTTTTTGGGTCCGACTTCAAAAGGATGCTGCCACACTCATTCTTACACAAGCATTTGAGTGGATACCAACATTTATTTCAAAGAAAATGCATCGTATTGCTGGTGTATGGATAACTTAGAAATTCTTGCTGTATTTTTGGAAGCAGATATTTTAAGGAGAGTTATGTGGTTCCTTTTTTATTTTGTTTTGTGTTATTATGTTATACTATATTACGGTTTGTTATGTTATATTATGTTATATGTTGGTGAGGATTTTGAAAGTCCTTCAGGGTCTTTTCAGTACTTTCTGATTTGGTTTTGTATAACCAACCTAATGAACACGAGAATATCAAAAACTTTGACGAATTCTGTTTTGGAGAAAATTTAAAGAGGAAAACACAATCAAGGATGTTGTTGCACACCTGTCATTCCAGGACTACGAAGGCTGAGGCAGAAAGTTTGTGGTGAGTTTTAGGTCATCCTGGGCCACAAAGGAAGATCAAGGCCAGACTGAACTGCATAGCAAAATCCTGTCTGAAGAAAAAAAGAAAGAAGAAAGAGAGCAAAAAAATGAAAAGTCAAAAATAGACTTTCTAGTGAGAAATCTTTGGAGGTTCTCTTGCATGTGTACTTTAGTCAGCACACCTAGCATAAGTTTACCATCATGGAGACATTGATGTGCTTCCTGGTGTTTGTACTCTTTCAATTTTTTAAGGCTTTTTATTTAGATGATTGCAGATATGCTGCTGAATATATCCTCTTAGGATTTGGGTAGTTCAGTATGAAGAGATTTTGATCATTCTGGTTTTTGTTTCTGCCCTCAATTTATATTTAGTACCAGAATTTGAGCAAGGGATTACTATTTTTATTTTGAAATAATAATAAGAATCATATAAAGATACACTTTTTAAGTCTATAAAAAGATAAAATAAGTATAGATTAATAGTGATTAATGTACCTTGTTCAGTTACCTCTGAGATTTCTTAATGATCAATATTTTCATACATTTGTAAAAGCTTTGGTTTGGTACAAATTTTAAGACATGGTCTCACTAATTTTCTAAATGTCCCAGGCTAGGCTTAAACCTTTCCTCATCATTCCTCCCCCTCCCAGAGTGCTGGGATTACAGGTGTATATTATCCTGAATTGGCAATTGGTAGCAATGTTGTGTATTCATGCAATAAAATGTTTGACTTTGGTCTTCAGACACTTTGTAGAACGAATCACTCTAGTTAAGCCACTTTGCTACCCTGCAGCTTCTTTCATAGTGAGTAGGACTGAAAATCCCATTAACACTCTTAGTAAATTCTCTGCTTTTCTAATTGTGGTCAGCAGGCACTTCAGAAGATCACTCCAAATGCCTTCGGCACTAGGATTGAGGCTTGGTGTCTTTGAAGCACATTCTCTTTTTCTTTGATCCCTCATGTAATTTGATGATTGTTTGAAGTCAAATTGCAAGAAAGGTGGGAAGGTTAAAGCTACTTGGGGCACACTCCCCTCCAGAAGGCCAGGTCAGTGTAAAAATTTATTTACGTTCTTGGTGTCAGTTGCAAAGTTTTTTTTTTTTTTTTTTGTTGTTGTTCAATTTCTAGGATTTGAATACAGAGCTTTGCATTGGCTTCTTTGTCTTCACCTTTTAACACTTTTCTTGTTTTGAGCCAGGGCCTTAATAAATGGCTAAATTGCTGAGGCTCACCTTGAATTTTTGATGCTCCTGACTCAGCCTTCCAGACTCCTAGGATTACAAGCCACACCAGCAGACCCAGTCTCATCATAGTGTTGTTAAAAACTTATTGGCTGCCCTGCTGCCACCTCTCTCGCCTGGGGCCCATACTAGGACTGCTGGGGACTGGAAGGTGCACATCCAGTGGAGCGGAGGTGGGCCCTGCTGCTGCCTCTCCCGCTCAGGGCCCGTACTACCACCGCTGGGGACTGTAAGGAGCACATCCAGCTGAGCAGAGGCCAGCCCTGCTGCCACCTCTCCTGCCCAGGGCCCAACTACCACCGCTGTGGACCGGAAGGTGCATATCCAGCTGAGGGGAGGCCAGCCCTGCTGCTGCCACTCCTGCCCAGGGCCCATACTACCACCTCTGGGGACCGGAAGGTTCACATCCAGCTGAGTGGAGGTGACTCCGGTCTGGCCCTGAAACTGCAAATTGAGGAAGCTTTAGGTCTACCTGAGAGGAGCCTTGCAAGCCTCTTTTAATCCAGGGACTCTGCTGCCAAGGAGGGAGCTACTAAAAGAGGAGTTCCAAGAGCCCAGGACATAAGAGTCAATTTACAACACAACCAGGGGAAACTCTGAAACAACACTTGAAACACAGTAATATAGGGAAATGACAAAATGAAAGACCACAATGCAATCTCAAACACCAACCCATCCCCCCAAGAAAGCCTAGAAGCCATGTACATAGAAGAAAATACATGCTATATACCTGAAATACCTGAAAAAATAGTAACAGAAATAAAGAAGCAGCACTGGGAAGCTTTGAAGGAATTCAAACTAGAAATAATATATCAGGCAAAAGAAGAAATAATAAAAGAAATGAAAGAGATGCTGAATATATCTAAAGAAGACACAGCTAAAAAATTGGATGAACTAAACAAAAGGATAGTATCTCTGGATGAACAATATAAGAAACAAACAGAATATATAAAACAGAGATATACAGGAAATGCAAAGAGATATACAGGAAATCAAAAGCAACATTGAAAGTTGTAAAAACCACCTGAATGAATGTGAAGATAGAATTTCAGACCTCGAAGACAAGATTGCAGCCAGTGAACAAGAAAGGAAAGATCTTTTAAAAGTAACAAGAAATCAAAAAATAACAATACAACACCTACAAGATGACACAAAGAAAAACAACATCAGGTTGATAGGGATAAATGAAAAAGAAGGAGACAATACAAAGGATGTCAAGAGGATATTTAGAGATTTAATTGCTGAAAACTTCCCAAACATGAAATTGGAAACTGATATCAGGATCAATGAGGCATATAGAACTCCAAATAGCCATAACCAAAATAAAACTACACCCAGATATATAATAATCACCATCCTAGAAATCGAACAAAAGAATACAATATTAAAAGCTGTCAGAGATAAAAGACAGATCACCTATAAAGGAAAACCTATCATAATCACAGCAGACTTCTCAACACAAACAATAAAGGCAAGAAGAGCATGGAGTGAAGTATTTCAGACCCTAAAGGAAAATGATTTCCAACCTAGACTGATGTACCCTGAAAAACTCTCCTTCAAAATTGATGGAGAAATAAGATACTTTCATGACAAAGAACAGCTGAAGAAATTCATGATCACCAAGTCAATCCTGCAAAGAATACTGAAAGACAGTCTAGACACACTTAAGAAAAAAACCACTTAACAAAGCAGACAATTAAATAGAACAGAAAGATAAAGATGCAACAGCAGAAATATAACATGTCACAAATAAACTAATATATAACACTTAAAATCATCAACATAAATGGCCTCTTTGTTTAAAATTTTATTTAAAAGGAAAAAGAGAAAAGCACAAAGCAAAACAAAGTGGTGTAATGGTACATGCAATACAGAACTACAAAAAAAAAAAAAAAACAGTAAGAAAACACCAGTTAATAGATTACATATTATCGTCTTAGAAATGGTTGCTCAAATCACAGTATCAAAGAATACAAAGTGGACATTCAAACAGTGAGACAGCAAACAGTTGTGTTCAATGATCCAACCAAAAACATTAATATGGTCAGCTATTTAACACCCCTAAACACACTTGCTGTTGTATCCTTTAGAGTTCTTTTTTTCCCCACTCTTTTACAGCAAAATTTACACATTTTGGGTTTTATTACTCCTTAGTTCTAATTACTTTTTTGGGTGGGGAGAGAATAAAGCGAAATATGGCAAAACAAAGTTGTCAGTCAAAACCAAGGATAGACATAGCACATGATGTAAAACAGAGTACAAGGTTATCAACAATGGTTATCAACGATGTCTCTTGTTTCCTCAAAAAGAATTGTCTATCTCATTAGATATTATAAAGTTGAACAAAACAGTAGAGAACAAGACCAATAAAACTTAGGCATTGTAAACATTACAGGACTTCCAAAGGAGACAATAGTCAAACCAGAATGGGCATCTTAGTGAATCTTATTACGTTCAAAGTAGTTGCCTATACCCTCAAACTTGATACTATCATCCAGAATGGAACAGAGTCTAATCAGTCAAAACAAGATCATGGGAGTATTACAAGACTTCAAAACAAGTTAATAGAAAATCAAATAAAGTTACTATTATATATCCTGCTAATTTTTTTAAACTTTTCCCCTTAATTAAAACAAACATAAGAAATAACTAAATAATTTTTTTAAAGAATAAGGGAGAGATTGAGATAAAACAGGGCATAACAATATAACAATACAGGTCAAAGCATGACTGTTTCAGCAACCTAGTGCTTCACCACCAAATAACCCGACTTAATAGTAGTTACCATATTGTCTGTCTTTTTCTTTGAAATATTTGAATAAAACTTCATATACTATAGCTTCAAATATTTCCATATCAAGAAGCCCAGAATAAAGCCTTTTCAATTAATAAGTGAAAACTTTATAAGGCTTCAAGGCCACATAATGGGGAATCATGATTACCATATATTTTTATATATTTGAATCATTACTTACATTAGGGAATCTATTCGGTATTCACACATGCGAGATTGATTTATTTCACTTATGAGTATGGTCTCAAGCTACGCCCATTTATGGATAAATATCTAAATGTGATCCTTCTTTATAGCTGAATAATACTCCATTGTATAGAAATACCACAGCTTTTTTATCCATTCCTCAGTTGATGGACACTTGGGTTGTTTCCAAGATCTGGCAATTATAAATTGTGCTGCTATAAACATAGGTGCACATATATCGCTGTGGTATGATGCTTTCAATTCTTCTGGGAATATGCCTAGAAGTGGAATAGCTGGAATAAATGGGATTTCCAATCCCAACTTTTTGAGAAATCTCCAGACAGACCTCCACAAAGGCTGTACCAGTCTACACTCCCACCAACAGTGCAGTAGAGTTACTTATTCCCCACAGCCTCTCCAGCATTAATTGTTGTTGGTTTTCTTAATCCTGGCCATTCTTTCAGGAGTGAGATGGTATCTCAGTGTGGTTTTAATTTGCATTTCTCTAATGACCAATGATGATGAACATTTTTTCATGTATTTACTTGCCATTTGCATTTCTTCACCTGAGAAGTGCATATTCATCTCAGATGCCCATTTTTGGATTGGATCTTTGAATTTTTGGGGTCTGAGTTTTTTAAATTCTTTATATGTTTTAGACAAGAGTCCCTTGTCTGAGAGAGAGTTCACTAAAATCTTTTCCCAGTTTGTGGGTTTTCTTTTTACCATGCTGGAGATTTCTTTTGACATGCAGAAACTTTTTAATAAGAAGTGGTCCTAGCTATTGATTCTGGGAAGTATTTCCCGTGTGGTTTGAGATCTGTTCATGAATTCTCTACCTACTTCTATGTCTTCAAGGTTTTAATCCAATTTGTCTTCCAATAGATTTAGTGTTACTGTTTTAATATTCAGATCTTTGACCCATTTAGATTTTAATTTAGTACATGGTAATAGACATGGGTCTAGCTTTAGTTTTTGGCAAATGGAGAGCCAGTTTTTCCAGCACCACTTATTAAATAGACTGTCATTCTTCCAGTGAACCTGCTTGGCTCCTTTATCAAAGATAAGGTGGTTGAGTGTGTTTGTAGTTGTGGTTGTATCTTCTAATCTATTCCATTGATCTTCGGCTCTGTTTTGATTCCAATACCATGTTGATTATACTACTGTTGCTTTGTAGTATAACTTCAAGTCAGGTATTGTGATGCCTCCTGCTTTGTCTTTGCTGCTTAGAATTGCCTTTGCTATTCTAGGTCTCTTCTGATTCCAGATGAAATTTATGAGTGATTTCTCTAGATCTATAAGGTATGTTGACAGTATTTCTATTGGGATTGCATTGAATCTGTACAACAGTTTTGGGAGAATGGCCATCTTCACAATGTTTGTTCTTCCTATCCATGAGCAAGGGATGTCTTTCCATTTTCTGAGATCATCCTCAATTTCCTTTTTCAGTGCATTATAATTTTCACTGTGTAAGTCTTTCACTTCTTTTGTAAGAGTAATTCCTAAATATTTCATTTTTTTTGCTTGCTAATGTGAAGAGTGCAGTTTCTCTTATTTCCCTCTCTCTGATTTTGTTGTTCATGTATAGGAATGCTATTGATTGCTGAGTATTGATTTTGTATCCAGCCACATTACTGAATTTATTTATTATATCTAAGAGTCTTCAATGGAGTTTAGGGGGTCTTCTATGTAGAGTATCATGTCATCTGCAAGCAATGATAATTTAACTTCTTTTTTTCCTATCTTTACCCCTTTTATTTCTCTTTCTTGCCTAATTGCTCTGGCTAGTACTTGCAGTACTATATTAAATAGGAGTGGTGATAAAGGACATCCTTGTCTTGTGCCTGATTTTAAAGTAAAGGCTTTCAATTTTTGGCCATTTAGTATGATACTGGCTGTTGGTTTGTCATAACTGGCCTTTATTATATTGAGGTAAAGACCATATATTCCAATTTTCTGTAAAGTTCTTATCATGAATAAATGTTGGACCTTATCGAAGGCTTTTTCTGCATCTATAGAGATGATCATGTGATTCTTATTTTTGGCTTTATTGATATGGTGGATTACATTTATTGATTTGCGTATGTTGAACCATCCTTGCATTCCTGGGATGAATCCCACTTGATCATGGTGTATAATCTTCTTGATGATTTGCTGGATCCTATTTGCCAATATTTTATTGAGGATTTTTGCATCTGTGTTCATTAGGGAGATCGGTCTATAGTTCTCTTTTTTAGTTGGGTCTTTCTCAGGTTTTGGTACTAGAGTAATATTTGCTTCCAGGAATGACTTAGGAAGGATTGCTTCCCTTTCAATTTTATTGAAGAGTTTGGGGAGTGTTGGCATTAGGTCTTCTTTGTATTTCTTGTAGAATTTTGCAGTGAATCCATCTGGGCCTGGGCTCTTCTTGATGGGTAAGGACTTAATTATATTTCAATTTC